GCGAAAACTGGAATTTGTGGATGTGAATTTTCATTCTTCAGGATAGCTAAAATCATTTCTCGGGGTTCAGCGTCGTGATTCCGTGATGTCTGAAACTGGGGCGCCGTTGGGTGAAACCCTGTGCCCGGCGGCCACTGAACAGAAGCTGCTTTCTCTCGGGCGCCCCAGACATTTGAACAAGCGGCATCATCTAATAGAGACAATGCGCGATTCCATGAGCTATGGTCCAAGGAAGTCGGATACATTTTCTTCGAAGCCCAGCAAACTCAGGGTTGTGATCCGTCGCGCAAAAATGGTCTTACTTATCTTATGGTCAGAAGCACAGCTCCGATTCAGTGGTTCCAACCTAGGACTTTATGGTCTCACCTCCTGAAAGGAAAGTTCCATGATCCCTCTCCTTTCATTGGCTGTGGGGATCCGACAGGGGCGCCTGATTAAGCTGGGCCGCAGCGCCTGGACCCCGAACGGCTGAAGGGGTGCCTGTCAAGTCTCAACGTCCCTAAAAGCCCCACCAAATCCATCATCCTCCACAGTGACGTCTTTCCCCATCCACCACTTCCTTCTCATTGCACATTCATCATGGGACGCTGGTCGCATCTTGATACCGACGAAGAGCGTCTGCCCTCGGGCATGAAGCGCATCGGCTACGATGCCGACACGCAGGTCTACTCGTACCGCGACTCTGACGGCAGCTACTGGGAAGGCGCGCCAGGTTGCCAATACGGGAAGCTGCATCGCGCAACCGAGCAACACGCCCCGCCTCTCCCGAGCATCCACATCGCCGACGACATCCGCGGCGAGGAAAAGCCATACGTACTGCATGACTTCTACGACGACGGCGACGACGACGACGGCGGTGATGACGGCATCGACGGCTACGATGACGAGAAGGCCGTGACAAGGCCCAAGCAGGCCAGGCTCAGCGGGTCGCATGCCCACCAACAAGCAAGCAAGCGGCTGCCCAAACTCCCCGCAGACGAAGGCGACGCCTCTTCCGATGACGAAATCTGGATCGAGAAACACCGAGCAGAAGTCGCCGTCTCCCCCGTGGGCGAAGAGCACCGATTCAAGCAATTACAAGAACGACAGCAAACCCAGACCCGCCCCCGAGACAGAGCCGGCCCTTTGTCGCGTCTCTACTCGTTCTTCGCGCCGGGATCCAACGACACGGCCGAGAGTCACACCAAGAAACAGCTGAGCCGTGCCACGACCGTCCGCGAGGCTTCGTCACAAGAGAAGCCACCCACCCGGAGGAAGCGAGCCACTACATTTGACGAGATTCTGGACGGGCATCCAGTTGCTGGGCAAAAATAAGAACTCGTCTTTTGCTGAGCGGGCGTTAGTACGGACTTTCTTTGATGTTATGGGGCTTCACGACGTTATGGACGATAGTAAGGAGTGTATGGGCCAGTACACAGGATGGTACGATCAATTATATGTTTATTGTTACCTGGTTTACAGTTATGACAGTCCAAAAAATCTATGTTTATCCCACTTCCCCCTATCCGTACTTTTTGTCGGCCTGCGGCGGCACCCTTTTGGTTTCCATGTCCCCGACCCTCTCCAGATCACCACGTATTTCTTCGTCTCTCCCCCGTGAGTTGATCAGCATCTCCAGCCCCCCATCGGGCAGCTTCTCTCTGATCGACGCCGACAGCTGCCATGTGGACAGACCTCTGACCCCCGCACTGTTCGCCCTCAGCAGCTTCGGTGCCGTTGAGTTGAGCGCCAGGACGAGCAGCTCGCCGAGCTGGCCCCACGCATCGCTCGACCATCCGCCGCACGCAATGAGCAGGATATGCACCACGACGATGACCGCGTGGAGGAGCAGGACCACGAGCCCAAGCACGACCAGCCACCCGCTCTCCAAGCTGTACCCGTACGCCACGATGAAGTACTCGACCGTCGCGTTGACGTACTGCCTGTCCACATCGGCCTCTGTAAATGTTCGCAGCCTCGTGTAGTTGTACGTGGCGCCGCTGCTGTCGGTGTCGTCGGCGTCGAAACACGGCGTGAATGCGCACTGAACGCCCTTGAGCGTCTCCGAGAGCATGGCTGACAGCGCAGCCGTGAGGCAATTGACGTCGGTGATGCATGCCCCTGCCAGAAAGTCGTAGCTGGATACGGGTCGCCCGTCGCCAGCCTCGCCGAGCACGTTCTGCAGCCGTGAGCCCGTGAACCGAGGGTTGTTGAGTTTCATCATCCACTCGGGATCGATGCGGATGATCTTACTTGGGTCGACCTGCTCCGTCTCGTTGACGAGCGTCTCGACCGGGCCGCCTACCAGCCGCGAGCGTGCATACCCGGACATTTTGTCGATCCAGATGTCGCTCTCGACCCAGCGCGCGACGGCGTAGCACAGTTGCACTGCGCGGTAGTCCGGCCGCATCTCGTTCATGGACATGTCGTAGTATGGCTCCACCATCAGCATTGCCGTCGACAACGTGTGCGATGGCGGCATGTACGGCTGCATGTCGAAGTAGGTCAGAAATGAGGCGTTGGCCGGCCGCGAGAGGTTCAGGTTCCAGACCATGTCCGACAGTGTCTCGTCGACAGTCAAGTTGAACTCTGGGTAGATGCCGTTCGGGAACCACACGTTCGCGCCCGGTTGGAAGTCGGTCCAGTTGAAGTGCCCCTCGCGACACTGCACAGCGACCAGCGGCTGCTTCACCGGAACCCGTTGTCCGGCCGCGTCCGAGTAAGACGTCTTTACCACCGTCTTCTCCAACGTTGTCCAGTCGATGTTGGCGACAAACCGATCGCTGAGGTCTCGCCACATGAGCCCCGATTGCAACATCGTGGGACTCGTGGCAATACCAACCCCCGTATATGTCACGTTCTCCGCGTAGATGATCTCGTCGGAAAGCGGGTGCACGTTGTCGGTCAGACACAGCCACACGTCCACGGCCGTCACATTATATGGCGCACAGGGCTCATCTGTGCTGATATAGTCAGAGTACCCGCCCCCTCCTGCTCCCTTCCCGGGAACGCTCTGGAGGATTATACTGTCGAACCGCTCGTTGAACATGCTCAGGCATCCCTCTGCACTGTCCACGCATTCCCACGTCATGCCCATGCTCGGCCCGACGTCGGTGGGATACAGCTCAGATGCGTTGACTGCGAAGCTGTACGGCCGGAACCCACCCTCAGTCTCCTGGTTCGCTGCGCGGTCGGCCAGATACCCCTTCATGCCCGGGACCCAGGTTGGCATAGGCCACGTCCCGACCTGCGGCAGGATGACGATGGCGGAAAAGGGGCCAATTGCTATCGACAGCACCAGGCAAACCACAATCAGCAACAGGGTGCCGAGGTGCGTTGCGGCCGTCACGCTGCGGACCGCAGAACCCCAAAACTCGGAGTCTACGAAATACAGTGGTGAACTGAGTTGCCATGGCGCCGTGATGAATCCCAAGGGCACCCCATCAGTCCCGGACATGAGGAGGTACCGCACCCGGTGCAGGAGGATGTTGGATAGCGAGAGGATGATGAGCCCTTCGTGAATCTTGGCCACGAATTGCAGCGCCGAGAGTGTGTCTTGGCTCGGCCCCGGGGGATACCATATCCACCCTGTCGCGTACATGCCGACCAGCCAGAACGTCACGGCCAGAGATCCAATGTGATAGCGGGCGATTAATAGGATGGCTGTGAGTCTGCGGCGGCTGGCCACTTTTTTCGGCTTGCTGTCTCTTGGTGGTAAGGACCATCGCCCGCGATTATCAGTCTTAGAGTCGGCATACTCGACGAAGTCTTCAAAGTTGAGCCGTGGTTTCTCGTTGTCGAAGCCATCATCGTCTTGCCTTGTTTCGGGTGTTTGAGGTGGCGAGGCCTCCTCCACGGGGCGCTTCGAGCCGAAGAACATGTTTGCGATGCGTTGGCGACTTAGGAATTACATTGAAGTCAGCATATTTGATGTTGTCTTTGTGTCGACTTTGTGTGGCAGCCACTGGCGCCCTCGCTTCACCTGGAAGCACGGCTCATTTGGAACACAACGAGTGACATGAAGCTGGCAGGCCAAGCGGCAGTGAATAGGCAAGAGCAAGAGAAAGAGCAAAAGTACCCGCACCAAGACGCGTAAAGAGGGGGCCACGGTTCTTATGAACGGGTTCCAAAAGGCGGATCGCCAGCAGGGATGGTAAAGACAAAGTCCCTCTGCATAAGTACCGGTCAGGAACACTATCCATATTGCGTTATCTAGTGTAGGTTGTCATTCGGAAGGGATTCAACGCTGTAACTGCCGACCACCTCTGGCAGTTCGAGCCCAAATCCTTGTTTCCATGCACTGTTTTCAGGGGTTAGCTTGGTTGCTGTATTTCTTAGTGCTTGGAATGAATTCAGGCGAACGGGAATAAGAATCCTTCGCCAAGCATACTTCCACGTTTTTTGGTATTGTAGTCAAATGAAATACTTTCTGCGGCGGCGCAGTTTCTGGGGATAATATGTTCACCGCATGAATAAAAATGTGGAACCCTGGTATGCGATCTACCTTCGTCAAACGCGTTAACGCAGCCTAGCCTCGTAAAAGGCTGCGCCGCACTGCACTGGGGGAGAGGTTCAAGCAAAGCAAAGCCCTATTGCGGAGGTCCCGTGGGACTGGACTGGATGATCAGAGCGGCGCAGCTTGGAAGGGGAAAAAAAAAGAACATGGATCAATCATGTGCCAGTTTCTTCCGAATATTTGATGCTGGTTATCCGAGAACGTTGTTGTAAGTTTGTGCCCGAAATCGCCGAACCCGAAGGCCCCGAGCCGCCTTTTTATTCTGTTTAAGAAGGCTGACTGGATCAAAACGTGCGATGATTAAGTGATGAATTGGTTTGCGGGTGAATTTGGGCGTGGGGAGCTACTGAGGGTCGACAGGAAGAAGGTGGAAACACGTTCGTACCGATAACAGAGGAAGGCGTCAAGAGCTTGTGTGGTCGCGCTCCGCCCCATCAAACCGTGGCTTGGCACTGTGCGCGTGTCATATATAGGATCCACTTTCTGCTCAGATACCAATCAGCTTGGCTCAATGGTCTAGTGGTATGATTCGTGCTTCGGGTGGTTTTTCGAAATTCCCTTACTTGGTGACAAGTGAAGCAATGTGCGAGGTCTCGGGTTCGAATCCCGATTGAGCCCCTTTTTTGTGACTTTATTTTTATTCATAGTAAACACAACCCCCCATTTTGACCAAGGCTATTTTTTTCATTTATACACGACAAATCTGATACGTTCCGCGTGTTTAAGTATGTTTGGACTAGGTGAGTAGTACCGAGAGACCGAAAGGCACAAAACCTTCCGTCCTATAATGCTATCCCAACCTTTTGCATCCCGTCATCGCTAAGCTATTGCCAGCACACACCCTCCAGCTAGCTGGGGACCTTATGACTCCTAATTCCATGGTATATTGTAATTTGTACATGTAAAAATAGGAAACGCCTGCAGGGACTTGCCACAGCTTCGCAGAGGCTGCGCAAATGGCAACTAATAGCAGCAGCACGCTTCGCACCGACATCGATGTCTCTAAGAATATCCAGCAGGTCTATGGAAGGATAGCCTCGCGGAACAATAGCCACCTATCAGCCTGTCCACGGTCGGTAAGGCAATGGCGGCGGTCGACGATCCCAAGGTAATGAATACCCCGAGGACTGGTTGGCTGTCGTGGCTTCATTAATTTAGGTTGCATCGCCATTCTTTGTCTCTAGACGAGAACTCCCCAAGTACAGACTGGATGAAACTCGTAGGTGAGAAATTTATTTTTTAATACGGAAGGAATATCACGAGATCGTGGAACGAAAGCTACTCATACGTGGAAACTCCTCACCTATTTATGTCTTAGAAATAAGACAGGGGTTGAAAGAGCTTTTGATGTTATGATGTCATAGAAAGAGCTCACAAAGGCGTGGACAGCGCTCAAGAAGTTGTTGAAGTCTTGTTCACGTCTAAAAGCCAAACAGATAAGTGCCTCGGTTCTGGGTTGGAAGACAGGGGAACCTCGTTGAGGCCCCCCGCCATGCACACAAGGCAGATGGCACACCGGCTGATTCGTAAGAGGTTCTTACTATCAACAATATTGCAAAAGACAGGATCTGAATTTGTCGACCACCTGCAGTATACATAACGACGACGGGTATATGCAAGGACGTTCAGATACCTCTTCGGCGCCTTGCAAGTGGCCGGACCCAATCGCTCACACAAAAGGCGAAGAGGGTAGTCATGAAGTTAAACAAGACACGAACAAAGGCGACGCAAAGGATACTAGGCTGGAAAGATGTTGAAGAATTGAAACCATGGTTAAATAGTGTGCACAAGAAATGACTTTAGTGGAGTTTATATAAGTCGAAAAGATTCCAAAAAAACTTGAAACATTCCACGACACATATGCTTTGAGAACGGCGGTAAAAAAATCTCGGGATCGTGATGTATGTATGAAACTGATCCCGGCCCGTCTATGCAACCGAATCCATCCATCTCCTTCCAAAATCTACCAGGGGGGAAGCCGTCCGTCATTAAAAGCAGTAAATACCAAGATGAGATGAGAAGAAGATGCCGCCAACCAACCAGTCTACCACCTCCACGAGCAGAACAAAAAGTAATGCGTGATATACAAGTTGTACGTATTGAGAATTAGTAGCGGCAGGGTATGATACCAGGGGAAGTGATTCATAAGCCGATATGTCACGGCCGAGATGGCGCCGCCCACAGTCAGAATGGTCCACATAGCGCACAGGATGCGCATATTGCGGAACTTGTGGCTGCTCTTATGTGCCTTCTTATCTCCCGACGCCGCCCACAGCAGCTCTATGCCAAAGAGTCGGTCCTTGATGGCCGTCAGGTACGCGAACGACTGCACGACCATGACGTGCTGAACATTGAAGCCGTATTTTGCTTTCGCCCAAAAGCGGAACACGAGCGCGCCGTAGAGGATGGATGGGATGGCAAAAGCGAGGTTGTAGTATTTGAACCATTCTGGACGGAGAACAAGGAGAAGAGTGCCTGGGATGGGCGAGATAAAAATGCCGAGCGAGACAGCAGAGTAGTACAGAAGGCCTAGTCAACAAGAGATTATCAATTTGACTTCAATTTGACGAACGCGCGGTTATGAGCAATACTTACCGCACAGGTAACAGACCTTCTGCATAAAGGTCAAGTTAGACACCCAGAAGTGTTTAGTGGTGAGCAGAGTGGTGCTGCCGCGCGCCCACCGCATTTGCTGGGAGAAGAAAGATCTTGGAGTGTTGGGGCAGATACCCGTTGCCAGACAAAGCGGCACGTATTTGACTTTCCAGCCACGGTCAACCGCACCAAACCTGAATGGGCACTCATTAGTCCAACATCTCATCCAACAAGACAATCAAATTCCGACTTACCCCGTATGAACATCCTCCGAGAACCCAATCTCGGCGGTCCCACCAACGTCCACCAGCGCAGCACGTCGATACACCGCATTGCTACCCACGCAGATCGAGGCACCCCACTTATTGCGATTTACTTGCACAACCCGGTAGAAGAGCTCCTGGGTGGCTCCTGCGCCCTGCTCAACCCAGGTCTGCTCGTCTGTGACGCGAAAGAACTGCGGCGACTGGATAATGGCGGTCTTGTCGTCTGCCATGTGTTCGACAACCAGCTCCTTCAAGAAGTCCGGGCGGGGGCAGAAGTCGGCGTCAAATATGGCAAAGAAGTCGCCGTGAGTGCGCGAGAACGCCCAGCGAAGATTTCCCGCCTTGCGGAGGCGCGGGCGGTCATCCCGGACGATGTAATTGAACCCGTAGCTCTCCGCGAGGGCTCGGACGACGGCCTGGTTACTGTCATCAAGGACATATACCTGCAGCTTGTGGGCGGGCCAGTCAAGCTTGACGACATGCTTGTACGTGTTCTCGAGGATCTCGAGCGGCTCCGAGCAGCACGGAAGGTATACATCCACTGTTGGCGCCGTGTCGTCCGTGATGGGGAACTGCTCGACCATGTCCTTGTGTAGCTGATAGTCCCAGTCCTTGCCGATGACGCCGACAAAGTACGAGATGATCAGATACATGTTAAGAAAACCGACGAAGACGCCGTACCAAGCAAAGATGGGTGCGCACACGGCGAACAGCCACATGCCGGCCGAGAGCGTAAAGAAAGAGACGAGGCCAAAGATGTACAGCGGTATGCGGTTGGTGTGGACATAGCTGATTTTCTCCTCGTCGGTCGGACCACTGGGAAACACTAGGCCGGGCTCCTCAATAGGGCAGTATGTTCTCCTGAAGGCCTGGTACGACCGCTTGAACGGGTTTCTGCTTTTGGGTGCCGCGACGGGATGCGCATCTTTCTCAGGGTCGGTGGCGGCCGCAGGAGCGGCAGCCACAACCACGGTGGGCCCTCGCTCGACGTCACTGTCGGAGGTGAAAATATTGCTCGCTTTCTCATTGAGGACCTCTTCGTGTTGGACATGCGGCGGTGCTGGTGCCTATTCCGGATTAACTGATGAGTACATGACATTTCAAACAACAAGCACCTACGATGACGTCTTCGTCCTCGACCCGAGGCGGCGGGAGGACGACTCCTGGTGGACTAGCTACTATGGCAGATAGCCGATCCTTATGACGATGGTGTTAGTAGGTTGCCGGATCACTGTGACACTGTTCCACGTACACTCGATGTTCTCCTCGACGACGATGCAGCATGTGACGACACATCGGAGGGGTCCTGGAACGGATCCTGAACCGAAAGCTCGCTGTGGTGTGTGGCTGACGTTCCAGGCCGGGGAGATGCCATACTTGCCGAGGGGAGGTGATATTCTGCCTCGAAGGCAGGTTGTGCACCTGAGGCCGTCTCTTTGCAGTATGCTCATGTAGCAGATGCTCTCAAGTGTGCCCAAGCAAGGAAAAAAGAGCTGCCGTATATGGAGACCAAAATGTTGACAGGAGCTGGTCGGACGGGGAATTCAGTAAGAAATGAAGGGGGAAAAAAAGCAAACAAGAAGCCGTGTCACATCCGGCTGGCTCGACCCACATTTGATATCGCCGTCTTCAGTCCCTTCCAGTGCCTTCCTTGTCTGCCCGAAGATACCACCTTTCGCTTGAAAGATGGGATGGCAAGATGGGGCGAGGGATCAGATATGCCCATTTACACTCCCCATGGGATGATAACCCATGGGATGATAACCCATGGGATGATAACCCATGGGATGATAACCCATGGGATGATCACCCGGTAAGGGACGAGGCTTGCCGACGTGGAGCCCAATACGGATCTCTGGCTTGGCTCAATTGCTGAAGGAACGGGGTTGGTGTTTGGAGTGCAGATCCATACAGACAATATCACCATCACACAAACAGAATGGGAGAGGGAACAGGGGCCAATGCAGGTACCCTAGCCAGGTATGCGGGATGCGGGACGCGGTGAATTTGATTAGAGGACATTAAAAAATACAACACCAACGATTCCGATGATCGACGTGAAAGACCATGATCCTTGGAAGTGAACTGAAACCGCGCGAGAGCAGGCTGTCGGAAGTTGTCCAACTGCGAGCGTCGGGGCTGCACCGGGGACCAAGTTCATGGCGAAATCCGTGGCAGAGAACGTGACGTTGTCGCGGGCGTGGTAGGCTTCGGAGCCAAACGAAACCAGTCCTACGTGAGCGGCTGCGGAGACCAGGCCGTTGCGCCATAGGTATTGGAGAAGAGGTGATATATCTGCTGCAAAACTGGTCTGATTTGTTGCCGCGACCCATGTAAAGACGTCTGTGCCTCTTGCGTTCCGACCTTGGTAAAGAGTGCTGTGAGGGTGAGCAAAGGCGTGTCTATTAGCGTCAAGGATTCCGACTTACAAGGAGGTGTCGCCGGCCGTCTGGCTGAAGCAGGTCCGCTTCTCGGAGCCAGCGCCCAAAGGTTGCGCAGGGCCAAATTTGCCAAGCCAAACCATTATCTCGGTTTCTGCCGTCGTCTCGTTCTGGGCACGGGCGGCATTGCGATCAGCAAAGATGTCAAAGGCTACGTTGGCGGTGACGCCAAGGTCGGCAAGGCCAACGGAGTCGACGTGAAGGGCCGGGAGAGCGGCCGATCCTGGGCCCATGGACCATTCCGCGGTGAGCTGAAGGGCAGAGATATTGGACAGGGGTGCTGGGAGATCGGGGGAAGTCAGTTTGACGTGGGGAT